GCATTCTCTGCATGGTGAACTGATCTGGAGATGGAGTTGTTTGGGATAAAAATGCTGGTACACGGACCATTACATATACTGGTAACACTTGCCTCAAAGAAGGATTTATCAGTCTTCGTCAGCTTCATAAAATGGTCACTGTCTAAAATTATGTAGTGGGAATTTCTAATTCTCGAAACTTCATACGCGCCACTGTGCAGACTCGTAACAAAGTAACCCTCGTAGAATCGGCTCTCTATAGCGGACGTTTTCCTGCATTGGCATTTGAGTTTTGGCAATCACGCAACCGCCTGGCTTATCCTGTTACCCTGGTGTAATGTTTGCAATCGTCCCTGATGAAGCAGTCATATCGGCAGAAGGTAAGAGGATTGAAAACTTGGCACGGCAAGGGATTCTTAATCAGCTGATGACCCTTAGGCTACGTAAAAGTACCTATTGCTGTCTTCTTTCCTTCATATAACTGTTTTATTTAGGCAAAATGTTGCTGAGGTGGTGGTATCGAGTGGCTTTGAATTTACAGACCTGCGTGAACTTTTGTGTTTACCCCTTTCGTAAAACTTTGTGGGAGAGGATGCATTGATCGAGTGTCCTATGCCCATAGTGTTCGTTCGGAGGGTCGAAAACTTCTACTGATTGTCATCCTGACTAACGACGTCGAAATTGTATCGCTCCTCAAAGCGCATAAGATAGGAGTAAAATTAGTTGGTGCAATTTGTCATATGGTACTGCTACATTTCCTCTTTATTTTCATGCTTCTGGAGAATCGAATATGTAGTTTTGTTTCACCGTCTTTTAGACACTTACTCGTCAATATCTCACATTCAGTCTGTTTTGCTTTTGTTTCACTCATCTCCACGAAGGGGGTAGAATAGGCTCGGGACACCAAATGGATCGGATAAGTTGATGTTCACTTGAAGCAATGTTGCTTCACTACCACATTTTTCCCACAGAATCCACAGGCGACCTTCCTGAAGGAAATGACCTACAGGGCATCCAATCAGCGTCACCATGGGGAGACCACGAGCCCGTCAACGAACCTGAACAACGCCTATCGCATCATTAAGGAGGTGTTGAAGAAGTTTCGCTCCCGCGAAGCTGAAGAGAAGGAGCGGGCCAACTTGGTGGAGCAGGATAATCTGGTCATTGAACCGGGAAAAACAGCTTTTCGGCTACGCGATCTCTACATTCGGCCAAACATTGTGGCCAAACGTATTACTGGTGTGAAAAGTTTTCTTACTTGTGTCAAAATCACAAGCCTTTTACCACTCAAACTACTCCTTTGCTTCCAGGTACGCTGGAGGCA